TCTCTTTACAGTGAAGCGGAAAGATGAAATCGCCGGTGGGAAGGGCAACGCGCTTAGTCCTAATAGTCTTGAGGTGCCCTTCCTTCAAGAAATAGTCTAAACTATCAACATTTGCTACCAAATATTCTCCCCTCCAAACATGTCCGGCCTGAATATTGTATCCTAAGAAAACACCTCTCTTGGCATTGGGAGCAAACTTACCTCTCTTTGGTTCATACTTTCCCTCCCGAAAGAAAAGAAGGCATCCGAAAGGAAGTTGTCTACCAAGGAATCCATTGTCAAAACGCAGTGTCCAAGGTGGGTCACCACCATTCAATTGTTTGACAATGTTGACGGCCATGGCATGGTGTTTGGAGGCATAAGGCCATAAAGACAAAGGCATGTTGGCCTGAAGAAGATTGGAGCGCGCCCCTTCCAAAATGGTACGGACTTCTCGCTCAACTACCGCTCTGGTAGAATGTTGATACTCAACAGAAGTCTGATGCTTGAATCCAAGTTCTTTGATGGCATCCAACATTTCGGGAGCGTTGTCAGTGTACACAATACCAACAAGATCCGAGGTCTTCAGGAAATGCTTGAACGCTTTCACAATTGAATCAGCAGTTTTGTTTTCCGAAGGGTAAACACAACGGTATTGCGTGTACACATCTTTGATCGCCAACATGGAAGTCTGACCTTCAATCCCTTCTTCAATATCTTTGGGAATGACATGATCGCATACAATGTAATCCCCAAAACCACATGCCAACACATGTTGTGATCCGCCTACGTTTCTACCGTAGGGTGCAAGCATTTTAGCTTCACTACAAATATCACAGTATGGGTTCTTTGGCCGGTGTTCTTCGGTTTTCTCCCCTGCTACGGGAACATCCTCAAAATCAAACGGAATCTCTACTTCTGGGTCACTATCCTCTCCTTCCTCCTGTTCCTCATCGGCATTGGCAGCTACGCCAGCTTCGTCATCCTCTTGCTCCTCTTCAGGTTCGGACTCATGGCTGGCCATGGCAAAGCCCTTGTCGATGGTGAACTGGTGGATGGAGTCGAGTACCTTAGTGAGGCGTGTCCTTAGTGACTCAGGAATAGAAAACGGGGTGCATGTCTCATCAATATAAGGAACCCTACCTTGCAACTTGAATTTAACACATTGTCCATCAGGTCGAAGAAAAATGCAAGTGGTATCCTTTCCCCAAACAAAATCATATCCCTGTTCTAGGCGCCTCAAGCCAATGGAGAGTGCAGAGGGAGTGCTTTGGAGAATGTAGGGACTAAAGGATTCACACAATCCCGGAAGAATCACCTCAACTACATCTTCGGCGGTAATGGGACCATTGGCAGTAGGGAGGGAAATGGGTTCATTGGACTTGAAGGTCTTAGTGGCCCTGTTGACATCTTCGAATCTTTACCTACGATGTCCTGGTCAGTGCCAGTATCTCCCAGCCACTTCTCCATACCAACAGTACTTGGCATCGCTGTTACGCGAGCACATGAAGGTACCTGTTCACCGGTGACCGTCCTACACTTTGCGCAGCACAAGTCATCGGGGCCTTCTGGGGAATGATCGCAAAGGAAGTCACACGCAGGCTCCTCGGTATCCATAGATTCGAGCATCTGCCTAAGTGACCCTGCTGCCAAAACGGCGTCCTTAGTGTCACACTCGCGGGACTTTGGACATTCCTCAGTGGTCCGGAACAGGTTCCGCTTTCTGCTCTTATTCACTACATGCCGGTACATGTCCTTCCAAACAGGAAAGGTGTGCACCTCTGGTTTGAATTCGAAGCGAATTCTTTTCTCTTGCACGACACGGAAAATCGACTTCCCAGTCCAATCAAACTTTTGTTTCGCGTTTGGGCTTCAATGTCCTACTCTTCCCCTTCGAGTCAGTGACTACCATGGTGAACTGGCTTTCCAACCTGGATGACTCCACAGGACAGGATTTACGTATAGGGAGAAACGACCTGTTCCTAGGCTTCAAATGGTGCCTAATCAATTCGGTGCCATCTTTGGAGAATTCCCAGTAGTCTTTACTCTTTCGAGTTTGAGTAGCGGTTGCTGCTAAGCAAGACATTGCGAATTCTGTTTGAATGCATGGACTGGCCTTTGGACTCTTTTCCTTCTTTTCCCTTTTGCTCTTTTTGTCCTTTTTGTCCTTCTTGGATTTCTTGTCCTTGGACTTTCTAGCCGCGGGAGAGGGACTCCTTCTGCGTGGGGCTGGCGTGGCCGTGTCACCGTGTTTAAACGGGCATTTATCACCCCTTTTGCAGTTGCCCTTTGCAAAGAACCTGCATGACTTCTCAGATTTTCTGCCTCTACTTGAGCTTCTTGATGAGTTCCTAGAACTGCTTCGGGAAGACGGTCTTGATGAGCTCCTGGATCGACTTGACCTAAAAGACGAGCGACCACTTGAACTTGCGCTACGCGAACGAGACGACTCCCGGCTAAGGGAGCGGGGACGGGCGCTAGAGTCGTGTGAGTACTTGCATTTGCTTCCGTACTTGAACTTGCCAGTTTTGGCGAACTCATAGCATTGATTGCCACCGTCACCCTTCGCGCTTCGTTTGCCATAACTTGGGCTTCCCGCGCGTTTGTCGTGTGGTGCTGGATTTGCATACTTGGCTGAATGCGATTGAGAGATCTTCTCTCGATTGGTCCTTAGCCTTTCTCGGTCAAGATACCGTCGAACAGAATTAATGAGGAATTCGTAGCTTCTGTCATTACTTCCTTCCGCAGCGCGTTCGTAAACATCAAGATCAAATCTGAGTTTACGGGGCTTCCTGACCTCTCTATAGAATAGATCCTTGAGTGTTGCCGGGTCAGGCACATGACTCATTCCGGTCAACACGCTTTCCCATTTCCTAAGAAAGGACTTTAAGTCATCGCTGTCAGGCGAGATCTTCAGGAGGTCTTCCGCGCCATACAGCGCACCCGCTTCTTCGCTAGTTTTAAAATGAACTTCAAACATGAGCAAAACCTGACGACCACGAACAATCCTACCCTGCTGTGCCTCAGATTCCTTATAATTAAGGATTTGCTGAGACAGTTCACCTTTGGCAACCTTAGTCAAAGCAGCAAGGAGTTTCGTACCGGATCGCTTCGCGAACTGCGGCCCTCCAAGTGCGGTACCTGTCAGGACTTGGGAACTCAGGGAGATCTATCTTATCTGCCTCTTTCGCCTTGGGTTTGTCTGGGTCTTTGCTTTTAGCACCCTTAAACCCCTCTAGCAAGGCCCTCTTGATGATTTCCCCCAGATCTTGGTCTTGTGGAGTTCTGACCTGAGATGCCGGCCCTTCACCTTTGCGGTCATCTTTGTTCTGCGTTGCGTCCTGGTTAAAGTACTGCGCCGACTTCTTCGTGTACTCTGTCCAGGGATCTGGTTGCTTGAACTGTTGCTTATCCGTGGAGGCTGTAGCTTGTTCCGTTGCGGGCGCCCCCTGTTCCAGAAAACATTGAAGGAAATCCTGTATTGCGACTTGTTGCATTTGCGTACATTGCTGTCTTTAAAGGAATTCCTTCTGCATCTGGGGGCGAACCCTCTAAGGTTGCTGGAACTGAGCCTTCCGTACGAAGAGGTTCATATGAACGAGGTTGACCAACGGGAAGAACATTTGGTTGAGCAGGAGGTGGAGGTGGCTCTTGATGTTGCGGCCCTGGTTTAACGGGGCTTGCGGCTTGCGCCTTGCGCTCGGTTTCCTTGCGCTCCTCGTCCCTGTCCGTCAAGGCCTGCACAACACGCCTGAGCTCGTCCATTTCACCCTTCAACATCGCATTGTCCTTGCGTAGCTCAACGATGGTTTGCTCTTGATTTTCCCTGTCAACGGCGTTCTGTGTCTTAGTAGATTCCATTTCACCAATAAGCGTCTTGATCTTGGCTTGCGCAATCGCCAACGGACTGGTCAGTTCCTCGCGATTGAAATCCAGATCTATGGCAACGCGGGCTTCTTCGGCTGACGAAGATCGGGCTTTGTCTGTTGCCTCAATTGCTGCCTTGAGTCTAGATTCTTGCTGCTCAGTATACTGACGGTGTTCAGTTCTCAATTTGTCAACAAATGCATTACCTTCCTCTGTTAAGGCGTTCTTCTCTTGTACAACCTTTTCGTGAGCCATTGTTGCCTGAGCTAGCCGTTGTTGAAAATGCTCTCTTTGCTCTTCCAACGTACCTTGCAACCGTTTGATCGCAACGTTGCCATGCTGTTGGACCAATTGCTGAACATTTTGTTCCCGCTGTTGGGCCCTCTGTTGAACATTCAACACTGCCTGCTCTGCTGCAACTTTAGTTGCCGCTATGGATTCGGAAGCTTCTCTTTCATATATTTGCCTAAAACGCAATGCTTCGAGTTCTGCTTCCCTCCTGGCTTGCTCACTGAGCAAAAACTCGTGTTGCTGTAGTTCCCGTCGTAGTTCTTCATCACCTGTTGGTGCATTCAGGTTGACGACGTTGAACCGCGTCATTGCCAACAAATTGTTTACTGTTGGCGCACCAGTTACGGTGGCTGACGGCATACCTGCTAGGGTAGCTTGTGTCGCGTTTAGCATCTGTTGGTACACCTCCGAAGCTACCCTTGGATCTATTGCTGCCACCTGAGCGACTGCCTGCTCGTGTCGTTGGGCTGCATCCAAACGATTGGGTAAACTCGGAACAATGTCAAAGCCACTTCCGTAGGAGTTCGGTGCGACGTCATCGTCCATCGGGTCCATAGCTCTACTCTAGCTAGCCTACGGCTGATAACCTGTATTTTACAGGATCAGCTCTAATAGCACTAACTACCTAGCTAACCCTGTACTACCGCTAAGCGTCTCTTTTAGCTCTACCTTGAGAACTCACGCTACGGGGTCCATGGGGATGAGGTGAATTTCAACAAAACGTATGCCGCTAGAGCCGCCTGAATCATGCTTCTCAATAGGGAAAGCATTCAGCTGGCCATAAACCTTTGCAAACATGGGCAAAGTACAATAGATTTAGCGACAGAACATCCTACTGATCAGAGAACACTCAAACAAATCGCCTGCACCATCTTGGTCGCAAAGCTTACCATAGAGCTCCTTCTTCTATCCTGATATCATCAAATCGTGCTACGATGGCAGCTCAGTATCCTCTTGTATTGCACCGGCCTCTCGTTCTGTGAGGAAACGTGTCTTGTTATTCTCAAAGTCCGCTAATGACAAAAGCAACCTTTCAACCAAAACTTCAACCACTTGCATGCTTTGCCCCAAACTCTACAAATCGAACGGCAAACATGTGAGCAGTCCGACTTCGCTCTTTGCTCATGCTTGTTTTGCCGGACGAGCTCCGAACGAAGAACCTACGTTCATCCAACTATCCACTGGCAAGATTGAAGAGATACCTTTTTCTGCCAAGCCTGAAGGTCTGCAAGTTCTTTCTGGAGCAACTTGTCTGGAGCCTTGCGGTACCAACTGCGGCTTCTCAGAATGTTCAAGAAGTAACCTGCGATACTTGATACCTAGCGAGACTGGGGGAGACTCCTGAACAGCAGAAATGCCAAGTGCGCGAAATGTGCCTGTTCGTTCTTTCTGAGGTAATTCAAAAAATAACAAGCAAATACTGCTACTGGGAAGCATGCTTCCTCAACTTCGGAAGGTGCCTGATTTGTTCATTGGATCGTTGCACTGAGATGTCATTCAGCTCCAAAACAACACTACGCTGCACCTCTTCCGTCTTCTCTGTCTTCTCTGTGTCCTGGCTTTCTGCGCTGGCGGCACCCTCTGAGGAATTGATTTCCTCTGATTTCTTAGCCTCACGCGATCAGATTACAGTAGTTCACTTCTTGTCACTTCACAGCCTTGCTACTGGTAGCTTCTTGCTACCAGTAGCGATGGCCTCCCACCTACTAGTGATGGCCTCCACCTAGTAGCTTCTTGTTACTAGTAGGAACGTGCCAAGGAACAAACCAGAACCATGTCTGCAATAACTCTGAAATCTTGCCTCAGCTTCCCCTTCACTTTGGCTGGCCTGCAAACGCCTCAGAACACGCACTATGGCATGACATGGCCAACTATCAGCGTCACACGTTTGAGATCAAGTTTGGTATCCTGCCTGCACTGCAGCTGCGGCCTCAGCTTTCACACATTGCTTTTCAAGTTCAACATCTGCCACACATCCATGGCCAGTCATTGAGAATTAGGCGTGTGGAAACATGCCGACAACGGTGATGGTAGCCCCTGGCTGACTGCGAAATCTGCCTCGCGCAGCTCATGCGCAAACTGCTGACCTTGAAAATTACCAGTTTCACGTGCCTTGCGCAAGCATGGGCGGGCTTGAGGGCATCCTGCAACGTGACAGCAGATTCACTTGCTTGAAAACATTGCGCACCACTCTTGACACAAAAAAATTACACGATGTGTCTGTTGGGGTATCCTGCAGTTTGTGCAGAAAGTGCCCGCGCCAATTGTGCTGACGCGACCGAGTGGAAGTTGCAAGAGGAATGTGAAACGGAACGCGATTCATTCCAACCTTCATAGAGCAGGATAGGCACTCTGCAACCAAGCCCTTGATCCAAAATCTCAAGAAAATAGATATTCCAACATCAATCACAACAAAAAGAATGTGTCACGGTCTAAAGACACTTCTTGTTGTTGTTGTTTCCCGTGTCGACCACAGTTTTTCCCTTGTTGGCAATTGTTTTGGAAACGTTATGCAGGTCGAAACTGAAATCTAGATTCGAGTTTCTTGACGGAAAACTTGCACTTGTGGTTTCACTGCGGTCAATCTGGGCCATTCTCTTCCAACATTGGTTTCTTTGCTTGCGAGCCGGAACAAGTGGTGGTCTGTCAAATTTTACTACAACATGCCCAAGAACAGGCCCTGTGTGGTGGCCTTCACCACTGTCGCCCTGCTGTCTGCAAATTTATGTTTCGTTTCCTGTGTGGTGGCCTTCGCTACTCGACTCAGGCGTCATCTTCACAAAGGCTCATTTCACTTCCGAGCACATGAGCACTGGCTTTGACAAAATGCAAAAATGATGATGGTTCCTTTCGTCTCTCCGCTTCCCACGCAGCGCTTCCCCAATGTGGGTCTCTAGCCTGTCTGGTGGGGTTCAACCATTGGGTGGCTCCCGTGAGGGATCTCCTTAAGCAACTGCCAATGTGCTAAGAGTTGTCTGTTCCAAATTCGCAGCAGCTTTCATGCTGACCCTCGCACCTACAGCCACCTTCACTAAAAGGCAGTGGCTCATACTCGCTTGGCAGCATCTTGCATTGCCTTTCTACAGGCGGATCGCGGACCTCAAGGAACTGGAGGCCATCCCAAGCGATTCTTCAGGCTGCAGCCAGCATGCTGAAGACAGTTCGTGGCACACCTGGAATTGACAGAAACTGTGAGCAAGAGGTTGACGCCAAGCCACCGCCCTCATTGTCACTGCTACTGCCCTTTGGCACCGTGCCGCTCAATTGTTCCTTTTGTCCCAAGTCTGCTGCATGGGTTCACTGTTGATGACCTTGGAATGGAACAGCCAGACCCGTCTTTGCAAGCAATTGCGTTGGGTGACCCTATCCGGTCGCTGCCGTGTTGGATTGCAGTCTTCTCAGCGGAACACTACATGCTGACTCAAGAAAGACGAGTGAGCGTTTTTCGCTTTGCAAACAACACGACACTGAGATGATTTCCGGGAGCTTTCCACTCCACATCGAAATCATTCTTGCTGAAGTGAAACTTCGAGTGCAACAACAACTGAGTGGCGGTTCAATTCAGTTTCACATTTGTGCACGTGCGTGTCTTTCATTTAACCTTTTTTGTTTTTTGATTCTGAGACGATGGGCTTCATTAACATCACAACAGTTGTCGAGTTTGCCGAGTTTGTGATGCTTATGATGCTGAACATCGCGGCACGTTGCAAGCTCGAAGCCAAACGTCACTGGAGGATAAGAAGAACAGAAGATTTGAAAGTGCAGATCAATGTACAGAGCAAAAGCCTTCCAAAAAAAAACAAAGAGTGAAAGCTTCTTGGACTCAAGAAGATTCCAGAGATGGCAGATGCCCTTTTGTCAAGGTGAGCGGATCTTTTGGACCACACGCGCTACGGTAATGCGGAGTAGTTTCAACTAGCAAACAGTGCACCTATACACATGACAAATCTTGACACGCCGCCTCGAAACGCCACGTTTGAAGTCGTGCTTTGACTTCGTTTCAATCGGCATGGGCACCACTTCATCTAAGTGGCCATGAGTTAAGTTCACCCAGCCTTCCTTTCTATACACTGTACTATACCCTCTGTATAGTTTGTTCCGGCATCATTCCAATGCCATTCCCATAAAATTCTTTACAAATTCTCACATCGTTGCCACCACATTGAAATCAAAAGTCCAATGTTCAACTGTCGTTGTGCTTTGTGCTCCTGGTTCAAATGGTTTCAGGAAGCACAATCGTGTATGTAGAGTAAGTTGTTGATTCAGCTGGTTTCAACAACCTACCCTCTTTAAAATTGTAAATTGCAAGTTGAAAATTTGTCAAACACAGTGGCGGTCTTTTTCACCTCCACTTGGCTTGTAAAAGCCGCTGCGGTATTGGGCTCGTCATGTGTGCTCACATGTGCAAGTGGACAGGTCATGAGTGTCTAGATGAAACCTGACACCCTGCCTTTCAGCGAGGCGCTCAAAGCTCGCTGAACAAGTCAGTCTTTACTGTAGGTCTTCCTGCGAGTTAGCATCTCAAACAGGCCTACAAGTTAAAATGCCTTTCCATGGCTCTCAGTTCTCCTTCTTCTGGTTGTTGGTTCTCATCATTGGCTTCACTTCTTGCATCTTCGTGTTCCTCTTCTTCTCCATCGCTCAAAGTGATCACTGCCTGTGGTTCTCTGTCAGCTTGTCTTGAATCACTGCCTCTTGAATTGCCAATCTCGATGACGTTGATGTCATCCACGTCCACATACTCCATGGTCACGTCGTTGTCGATTGCATCTGCTTCTGGTGGTAGATATCGAAGTAGTGCATTGTTATCATCTTGGTTGCCAAGCTCAGTTCTTTCTCCTGAAGTGTGTTGTCTGATGAACTCTTGTCTTGCTGCTTCAGCTTCTTCTTCATCTGGATGTTCTGCTGCCGCTGCATCAGCTCCACATTGGATTGCTTCTCGTTCAAGTCTCTGCAATCTCTTGGCGAACAGAATGCTTTGCCTGTAGCCTTCTGGCGTCTGGCAATGTTCGATTGCTGCCAGCATCTCATTTCTCAAAGTAAAGAGTCGTCCCATCATGTCACCATTGAGTACTCTGCCTCGTTGATTCATTGCTTCATCCAGGATCGTGTTGATGAAGTGGGAAGGTTCTCGTGCTGCTATTGTCAAGTGTGTTTCCACTCCTTCTCCTATCAGCAGTAGTTGCTCTCTGTACCGGCTGAAAACTTCTGGTCTTGAAGGAACAATTCTTTCCAGTTCTTCATTGTTCGTCTCCTCTGACCCATCTGCTAGGATATGTCCAAGCCTCTGTGAAGAATGCTCCAGCATCTGCCAATGCGTGTTCTCAATGTTGACCATGTGGTTTCTTCTTGCTTGCTCTCTTTCTGCAATGCGATCTCCTTCTTGCTCCCAGTCATGGTCTGCTTGTTCACTGCTTGACCATGTCAACTCTTCTGGTCCACTGTCATGATCTTCTCCTCCATGTCCACGACGTCCTTGTCCAAGATCAGGTGGATCTGGTAGTCGTCGTTGAACTCGTCAAACTTCTCCTCCAGGATGTGATTGATCTCCTCCGTGATGTGGTCGGACTTCTCCACGACGCGGTTGTTCTTCTTCTTCATCTTGTCCAAAGAATGAAGTCACCGTCCTGAAAACATGTTGTAGATCTCGTTGTCCTTCTCGATGTGCTCGGTATCTTCCTCATCAGGGTTTGCTGCTCCATGTGTTGCTTCATGGTGTACTCGGCGTCGAGGTCCTCCATCTCCTTCTTCTGTGTCACCATGTGCTTCTCCCTGACTTTGACCAGTCTGTGTGAAAACATCGAATCTTGTGCCTGTACCTGGCTGCATCAAGGTAACCTCTGGACTCAGCTCTTCTGGTTCTTCAGGAACTGCTTCTTCTTGCTGTCGCTGTTCTTGGATCGTGGCCTCATAGGTTCTCTCTCCACAGTTTCCTCTGAATGGTAGTGGAAAGATCTGCGCTCAGCCTCCTTCGTACCTCATCGGGCTCACATTGGCCCAAATGCCTTGTAGATCCACAAATTGTTCACCTAGTTCTGCAAGTAGTCCAGGTGCTCTTGGTGGTCGTATTCCAAGTCGTGTTGCTTCTTGTTAGGCAGCAACGCTTTTCACTTCGATCACGAACGCTACACAGTGATAAGAACAGATACTGCACACGTGACTCAAATCAAGTCTATACATGTCACATTCATACGTGTACTCAAGGGTGAAATAAGTTAACACCCCGCCTTGGAGTTAGATGTCTAAATCTAGACTCCACACTTTCTTTTGTACACTTCTCGATTTGTGGGATCCGCTCTCTGGTAGGCGGAACTGAAAAGGTCTCCCACAAACATTTCCACAGCTACCAACTGTAGCCACCGTTCCGGTGCAACTTTGTACACGATTTCCACAAATGACCATTGTAAATTCTGTTTGCTTTGTGCGTGGTTCAGCTGGTTTCACGTACTCTCAAAACTGTCTTCAATGCAATTGTAAATGAATTCGTTTGTAGTGCCACTATACCGTGGTTCAGATGGTTTCACGGTATTCAACAAGGAATGGTCCTGTGGTTCAGACGGTTTCACAGGCCACTCAACTCAACACCCAAAAGAAAATGTATTGTAAATTTGAAATTCTGCAAATCTGGAATCTGTAAATCAATTGTCACCATCTCCGTTTGAATTGCTTGCATCATCATCATCACTGCTAAAATGATGTAGCTCCTGCCAATACTCTGGATCGCTTACTTCTTCAATTCCAGCATAGATGTACCTCATCCTTCTATGCGACTCTGTCTCGCTGTCTTCAACCTCATCATCGTCCTCATCATTCTGTTGTTCCTGTCCAGCCGAGGGCATAGCCAAACTCCGCCCTGGCAAATTTGATGAGGAAAAATATCCATCACCTGAATCAAGCTCTGACCGAAGTTGTTCATCTCTGCTTGTCTGTCCTGTATGGCTGCTCGACGTTGCTGTACTGAACTGTTGTCGTCGTATCTGCATTCCAACGCTTTCCTCCTCCGGTTCTGATCCAACATATCGATGCGTTGCAATGTCTTCGTGCTCTGGCTCTGGATCTTCCTCCACTTCAGGTCCTGCAGAAGACCCTGAATCCGGTGACAAATCGGTCATGCCACGACACATCATATGTGCCCTTCGTCTCACCCCTTCACTGTGGTTCTGCTCAAGAATACCCAACTGCATCTCCAAAATGTCACGCCGGTGACCATACCTGAGCAATGTATTGTGGTCCATCGAATGTCCTCGACGTTGCAATCTTCTGTTGACTCTCCCCAACATAAAATATAGGAACCACTCCGGAGACCAAGGATCCCACCGTGGCGGTGGGTCTATCGGGATGGGCGAGAACTTCGGTGCTCGCGGTGGAGGTCCCCTTGGT